ACGAGACTGTATGCTGACTAACATGGATCTGTTGAAAATCCTCAGTAAGCTTCTCATGGTCTGTGTTACATTTTCAAACTTCATACAGGTAAGAAAATCATCAGTTGCTAACACTGATTACATGTACTTACTGGTGTTTGTATCAAAATATTGCAACTTTGATTTTAGGTTGAATGAGTACATACAGTACAGTTCTCACGGAAGCTTTGGCTTTTGTGGCATCATTGTCGCCTCAGCATTGCATCATTGTGGCATCAGCTTCCGTCATTGAAAATTGAAGCTGTGTTCGCCTTGCTTATTTTGTGGCATCATCGTGGCCTCGGCTTCGCAGTCTCATGGCATCAACATGGCATCAGCTTCAAAGTATTGTGACATGAGTATGACCTCATTATTTTCACATGGAAAGGTAGTAGAGAAAAACACATGTACAGAAGTTCGATATGTAATTGATTTGAAATTCAAAGCGGTAAGGGGAATAAAATAATATGACCAAGAGTAAAATGACATTTTAAAAAGATATCTTGTTAAAAACTTTGTGAATTACATTGTAATCTGCAAGGTGACGAGTGTCATATTGACTGCAAGGAAAATTGTGATAAATTTAAATCACACGATGCAATCGTCGTTCGGATACAACACAATTTGCTATACGAAATGAAACTGTCCTTGTTATAAAATTACCTTATTATCGTTCATTTTATTTGCTGGTAAGAGAACAGATTCAGATTCCTCATTTTGGTGGTATTTTTCTGTGTTTCGTTTAGTTTTAGCCGAGTCCGATCCCATGCCCGGACTACTAATACATGCAAAACACGCGTACGCCGCCTGGTGCATCGGCGTTGTCGCCTGCCATCTTGATACAAAGTTCCAAAACAAGTGCGTATATTTCCAACCATGATTGGATGGTTGTGGTGGCGTCGGTCTGGTAAAATTTTACATCCAATTTTCAAAATTAAGTCACGATCAGTGACCACAGGCCTTGTAAAAAATATAATAGCTTTTGACATGCAGAAATAATTTATTGGGCTTCAGTAAAAAAGTGTTCATTTAGTTGTAGCCGTAAATATTTGGTGGCCAGTCGATGAACAATTTGAAATTCATTATACACACGGAAGTCCTTAGATACTGAATATCATCGACCCCAATCTGGTTAACCTTATTTCCCAACTTGCAAAACTGATTTGTATCTCAACCCAGTTTTTCTTTTTTTAGCTCAGCTGTCGACTTTGTCGAGCGGAGCTTATCATATGAGTGATTGTCCGTCGTCTGTGTCAATGTTTTACTTTTTCGACTTCTTCTTGAAAACTACAAGCCTGAATGCTTTGATACTTGGTGTATATGTACCTTGGGTAGACCTCTTTCAGATTTGTTCATTTCATGATCATATCTTCAATTCTCTAATTTTGGTGAATATTTTTGTCATTTTTGGTAAAAAGTGATATTTTCGACTTCTTGTTGAAAACCGCAAGTCCAATTGCTTTGATATTACATATATAGGTACTACATGTGGACCTCTCTCAGATTTGTTCATTTCATAATGATATCTTCAATTCTCTAATTTTGGTGAATATTTTTGTAATTTTTGGTAAAAAGTGATATTTTCAACTTCTTGTTAAAAACCGCAAGTCCAATTTCTTTGATATTACATATATAGGTACTACATGTGGACCTCTCTCAGATTTATTCATTTTGTAATGATATCTTTAATTCTCTAATTTTGGTTAAAATTTTTGTCATTTTTGGTAAAAAGTGATATTTTCTTCTTGTTAAAAACCACAATCATTTATGGTGAAAAATGATATTTTTCAATTCTTGTTGAAAACAGCAAGTCCCATTGCATTGATACTATGCATATTGTTCATTTTCTAATGATATCTTCTGTTCTTTAATTGAAATGTGCATTGCTAACAGCGGAGCTATCTCAGCCGAGAGGCTGCTTGTCTTTTTTTTGAACTGAGGTCAAACCCCAGCCGTTTGTCAAAATATACCGATGTTTTTTCAGTGAATGATTGTGAAGCCTGTCACAGCACAGTGAATCGACACCGGAGATTGGATGGTACGACGACCATTAAATTAGCGTCAAATATGCTTTGTTACAACATCATTGATTGGCTGAGAGTCACCTGATCGAAGCACGATCTGGGTCACAGAACCATATTTGTTCGTATTATCAACGGGACTTTGCGAGAGAACCACAGCCACATTTTCAACCATTTTTAGCGCGGAAGTTACCAACAAATGAATTTGAATAAAATAAAGCTAGCGATTGGCAAGACTGATTAATAATATATCCCCCGATGCTCTTCGATTTTTTTAATTTTATTTCAAGGCGAGAAATGGATAATTGAAGTTCCATCGATTTCAAGGCGACTGTCTCACCGTGACAACTCTACGCTGTGTTGTAGTTTCGCGAGGTAAAAAAAAAAATATAATGAATAGTACTTGTTTAATTATTTGGTTATACAGCCCGCAAATTACGGGACATGATCCCCATGAATTACGATAAATAAATGCTGATTGTGTTGAATGATGGACATCGGGACCGTTTGGAAAAACCAACGGGGATCGATATTCCAAACAAATTATTGGGACACAGTTGGTAGACATTTCAAACAAATGAAATTATTAACGAAAGACGAGATTTTTCCAGATATTTACGAACGAACTGTCATACCAAATATATGCAAAATTGACAAATCCACAAAGAGATATTAGGTTTTATTTTAGCCTTAGAAATATTTTCTTTCACTTAGTCCATGCGTGGGACTTCTATTTAGCTTCATGGTCCTTCGGCTTGTGTTCTCCTTGGGGGAAATAACAATAATTATACAAATCGTAAACTCAACACAGTCAGGAAAAGAAACCCGGACAACCATGTCGTACTTCTGTTGAAATACATTTTGTAGCAGTGCGTCACGTCAGAATATTGTTTAAAATAAAATAGTCAATCCCAGCCAAATCTAGGTCAAAGGGTCAGATTGCGTGCATATAATTATAGATAGTTAAAACAAAAAGTATTTGAACTTTTGACGGTTGTTCAACATCTATGCACGATTACTAAACTAGTAACTGTGATTTATGAAAACCAGAAAATTGTTAGTAGTCGGAAATTTTGCACAGTCGAAAATAAAGCGGAAATTCAACAAGCGAGCGAGCGATTGAAAAGCGGAAGCGGGCGAGAGGTTGGGCGAAATGAGTTCTGTACTTCTTTGTTTGATGAAACGATGCTAATGCCACATTGTCGCCATAATGAGGCCACAATGAAGCGAAGCGATAACCGCCTAACTTTTTAATGTCGCGACATTGATGCGATGCTGAAGCCATAACAATGCCATAATGATGCGACGCTGAAGCTGAAGCCAAAGCTTCCGCGAGAACTGTACTGTATTGTGAATTCAAGTAGAATTTTTCACACAAAAAAACTAAATTTTGAAGTCTGAAAACAATGAGATTATTAATTCATGATTTAAATACATATGTACAGTCAATCTTTTTTATCATCTTTCTTACTAAAAACTAGAATTTTGCTGTATGACTGTTGCTATAGTGATAATATAACCTTTGACAGTTCCAATTAATCAATATGGCTGATGAGATGATTGCTTCCTATTTTGCATTTCATTTTAATGTAATGAGGGAAAAAACATGCTTTCAGAAAATAACCTCAAAACTGTACGAGTTCTTAAATACCAAACATTAGATCATTTTAGTTTAAGTTTAAAAAACAGTTCAAAAACAAGGACTTATGGACTCACCTCTGTGGTTGCGTTCATTAGTCTGTTTGTCCAGACCTCTCAGACATGGCCTCAGTTGACCACATTTCAATTTCACACATATCAAATCTCTTTGGATACATATCTTTTTGTTTCATGATCTGATTCAACATTGCCAAATGGTGGCCATTTTAATGTTCAAAATGCATATAAATAAATAAGCATTCTGTCGCTTCTGACCCAGATTTGGGTTACACATGCATACATATATATATATCGGTATATACATGTATATATAACAAGACCGTAATGCTTTTTCAGAGTGATTTCGATATCCATTTCATGGCTTGACTTGAAAAGTTACTAAATCTTTGTCCTTTTGTACTTCATCCATCACATATTTAGAATTTGTACATAAATTCTCTTCTTCCTGTAGAGAGTTACTGAGAGTATGAACGTTGATGCAGAATATAACCGATTTACGGGTAGAAGTAAACGTGAAGAAGTTCTTGATACTTCAGATAGACTTGCTACTGCAAAGGTATGTTCAATTTACTAGTCGGCATTATTTCAATGGTTTGTGGAGTTTGAAAATTTAAATCCAAAACTCATTGCATTTCATTCTTATATCTGTATGTGTGTGATACAGTGGCACTTTAAACCTGAATCATGCCGAGTAATTGGAAATTACCACCAAGTGTCTTGTCCTAAACAATTATAGGAACAGGGATTTGTGCAGACAATGACAATGATAATATGATGACAGGGATGACATGATATGAGGCACTAACATACAGATATTTTGTAATGCTTCTTGTTATACTTGTTCTCTGGCATATCAATGGAGTGACATAGTTATGCTTGTTCCCTGGCATGTCAATGGAGTGACATAGCTATGCTTGTTCCCTGGCATGTCAATAGAGTGACATAGCTATGCTTGTTCCCTGGCATATCAATGGAGTGACATAGTTATGCTTGTTCCCTGGCACATCAATGGAGTGACATAGCTATGCTTGTTCCCTGGCATGTCAATGGAGTGACATAGCTATGCTTGTTCCCTGGCATGTCAATGGCGTGATAGAGTTATGCAATGGTGTGACATAGTTGTGCTTGTTTCCTGGCACATCAATGAAGTGACATAGTTATGCTTGTTCCCTGGCACATCAATGGCATGACAAAGTTATGCTTGTTTCCTGGCACATCAATGGTATGACAAAGTTATGCTTGTTCCCTGGCACATCGATGGCGTGACAAAGTTATGCTTGTTCCCTGGCACATCAATGGCGTGACATAGTTAGACAATGGTGTGACATAGCTATGCTTGTTCCCTGGCACATCAAAAAGTAGGAAACTAAAGGAGGGATTTGATAAAAGGGGTATTAGGTTTCAGCGTCAGAATCTAAAATGTCTTTATAATTAACCACCAGGTCGTGTCTGATCACATAGATGTAGTCTTGACCAACGAAAACTTCAGTGGAACAGTA